CGCATGTGGGACTTATTTTATTGGGACAGTTACTAGTAACCCCATACTGAAATTTTGAAGATTTCAAAGTTTTTCAAAACTGTTAAATATGAATTGTTCAGTGCATATATGACCTTGCCTAGAATTGTATTAATTAACCCTTTGAGGTTAATTTCAACCACTGTCCATTTATAGTCCACATAAAATTTGTGAAAATTTAATTTTTCTTTTTTTTTTCATCAAAATTAAGATTGAATGCATAGAAAATTATAGTTATAGTGAATAAATTTACCAAAATTGGAGTGAGAAACAAATTTGACGCTCTAAGGGTTAAGTGTGTGGATACGTTTTAAATGTTATTATTTGATATCTCATACAATATTTTGATTTACAGAGAACATTCAGAGAGATTATGTTTCTACAGGTAAGGTTATTTCATCATTAATATTCTAATGATCAACAAGGACTCTATTATTATGACATGAATTGTTTCTTCATTATTTCTTGTTTCCAGGAATTTAGTGACCATTTCGATCTAGTAAAGTCAGTCAGTGTCGTTAACAATTTGTAAAACGTGTTTCGTCTAGTTTATAAAAATAGGAACAACATCATCAACAATTTGCAAATTTGTGATTCATCTAGTTTTTAAAATTAAAGCAACATCATCACATATGTTGAAATTGCCAATAATGAAGCTGATTCAACTACATTGCTTTTGGCAGTATAATGTAAAGAGGTTGATTCAGCTGACTACTCACTCTATGCGTATTAGTCCACCATTTCAAAAGTACTTTGTTTTCACTAAAATAAAATAATATTTGACATACAAGCATGCCATCCCTTGTTTTCAAAATAAAGTAGTTCCTAGGCACGTATTATAATTGTGGTGTGAAACCTATATGTTGGTATATCATCTCCTCTCAGTATGGGAAAAGTAAGGTGGCACACAAAAGGAAACATTAAGTCAACTATCTGACAACAAAATTCTCTTCTAACATCACTTGCAGAAACAAGAATGATTTCTTTCTTTTTTTCTAGGAATTTGGTAGCCACCCCAATGTGATAAAGTTGATCAATGTTATCAAGGCTGAGAACAACAGTGATATTTATTTAGTATTTGAATACATGGGTAAGTTGATATAAGTTGTGTTCACGTTACATGAAGTACGGGCTAATATTTATCTGATTTAGGCTTATCTAGCATATTTGCATTTCGGCTAGACCCAATTGCGTCCACGCACAGGGAGGGCCAGTCGTTAGCACGGGCTAAGGGGTGCAATTAGTCGGTGACCTTTGGTAAGCCGCTATTTACGAGTGAAAAATGGATGACACGCGTGAGGGTCTATTTCTGCTGCTGGCATGTTTCGTTCTAATTTTGAAGCGACGTGCACAGGAACGCGAGAGAAGACGAACCCAACTTATTTAGATGCACAAAAACAGTATACAACGATGTAACAGAATACAGAGTTTTATTAATGCATGTCATAGACAGCGAACCAAATTTATTTTGTCTACAATTGGAGCTGCTGTACGCTCTACTACAGCAACCCGATCAGTGTGGAAGCGAGCGCAGAGTAATGACTGGTGGAATAGAGTCGTTATACAAACATGGGACAATGCAACATTCCTCGAAAACTTTGGGTCTGTTAATTTTGGGAATGAGAAAGTTGGACGTATTTGATCACGTGCATACTTTTCACACCCAAAGGTCACTGCAGAGGGCGCTTAGCCCTGGGCTAAGCGTTTGCGCAGACTTCGTTATCCCGTGCTAAAGGTCTAGACTGCGTCTTAAATTCGGATCAGATTTAACCAATACTTATCATTCCTTAGCCCGTGCTAAGCGTTCATGCACGTTTTCTTAGCACGGGCTAAGGAATTTGACCTCTTACCCCTTGCTAAGAAGCTGTGCGTGAACGCAACTTCTGGGTAATCTGAGTAAACTGAAACAGAAAACAAACATTCCCCATTCTACTTAAAGGGGCACTTCCAGTTAAGCCTAATCTCACAACAAATTTACTTTCTGGATTAAAATTACAATGGATAACAAAAGATAGATTAAATTGTAAACAACATAAACAATAGTGTCCCATGATTCTTTGGTGCAATCCATGGGATTGAGCGGTTCCCCTTAACATGACGCTGTTCACAAGGATGTAAAAGAAATGTGTTAGTTGCAGGTTTAAAACTGACCATTTTTTTAGCCCAATTGTATACTTCTTGGTGATTTAACTTCCATCCCAAAGCTATTTGAAAACATCCGTAACACATACACATCTGTAAAAAATGTCTCAAACAGCTCAATTCTATTGTATATGCTACCAGATGTAAAGTATTTTGGATTAATAGAATAAAATATGTGAGTTTTAAATCATTTTGTCTTCTAATTCCACAGATGTTGATCTCTATACCATTATTAAAAAAGGCAATATATTAGAAGACATTCAGAGAAGGTATATAATGTATCAAATCTTAAAAGCAATCAAGTATATCCATTCTGGTAACGTCATACATAGAGACATGAAGGTAAACAACACAAGTTGATTTCTTATCTAAACAATCACAGGGATGTAGAATGTTGTATAATTAGAATATTAGGAATATAACTGTATATTTGGTCATCAAGAATCAAGAAAAATGATGGTATATGTAGCAGAGTGATATTGCTAAACTGTTGTGGCCTTCCTACATAATTGTTGTTTAATTTCAAAAATAAGACATACATGTAGTGATGCATGACAGTCATGCATGGCATGTGACACATGACATGACCCCTAAAGGTCAACATCCTGGTACTTTCTGAAGGTTCAAATTCATTATCAATGAAAATTTCTCTATTATTTTCTCACAATATGCAAAAAAATAATTGTTTCTGGTCAAATTGGTTTTTTTGCTAAAATATTATGCAGGTTTAATCAACTTTTCAACAAAGGGTACCATGCTGTTGAGAAATAAGTGAATCTGCACTTGTTTTGGTTATGCACATTAAGCATAATTATTAATTGTTTGTTAAGCATACTGTGGAATACTTTATTTTCGCTGGAATTAATTTT